AGCTACTATCAGGTCAATGGTGGCAGTTTGTTTGTTTGAAAGGGCGTTGTTTACAGAGATTTATTCGGCAAAACACAAACTACCATCAGAAATAATCATTATCAAAATCAGTCACTCATTGAAACCCACCGAAAACTACACTCATTTTCGAATCATTATCCAATCGAAACAAGGTGAAGTTCATTTTCCTCGAAGTAGCGGAGGCGACATCTTCGTCTACTAAGGGGACGTTGATGGATCCCGTTGGGACGGTGGTGAAGGAATCTAATGGATGCGAGTCTCAAGAACAGGAGGTCCAATCTTCTGAACATCGCCTAGCTCCGTCCATTCGAAGCTCTGTCTACCATCGTTGTCAACCACCTACACCCACGCTTTGTCATTAACCACCACCATTGTCGTCGATTCAGGATTATGCTAGTATCAATTTTCAGTGAGGATTTCAATGGGTTGTGTGGTGATGTACTTAGCTGGAAGAGAAAGGGGAAAGGAAAAGAGTGGGTGATCTATTTTCTTTTTCTTTTAAAAAAAAATATGTGGCTTATGAAACTTGTTATATTAGATAGCAGTGACCAAAAATATATGTCGACATCCACCTTATACCCCCCATAAAGTAACAAAAATAATTTAGGGACTGATTAGATAAATTATGAAAACATTATAGGTCTATAATGTCATTTTCCTTATCTATAAATAGTTGACAAATTTAATAATGTATGTTGCTAATACCTTAATGTTATTTCTTAGTTGACAAATTTAATAATGTATATTGCTAATACCTTAAGGCTTAATGTTACTTCTTTAGTCTTAGAAAAACTAGACATGTAATCTCTCTAAACGAACAAACAAGAGGTTGAACACAAGAAGAGATAAGAAGACGAGAATACATTTTTTGAACAAAGTCAAAAGACAATAACAACGGAGGAAAATTTGTCCCAAGGTTGAGATGTGTAATTTACTCTACAAACAAGTCAACAATTAAGTTTGCCATTAGTAAAAAAGAGTCATGTATTAAAAAATGCGTCCTTATAACAAACTTTGTCTTCTGAAAAATCACTTACGTGTTAAAATCGTCAAAATAGTGGCAATATTTTAACAAAAGGAATGTATGTATGGAATAAGTCATGTTTACAACGTTGTTCATTACTTTTTTGCTAGAAATGTGGAAACCTTTATAAATAATAATCAAGTTAATTTCCTTTACTTTTGAAATAATATTCTATAAATATTATCTAATTTCTCTTATTAAAGAAAGAGAATACGCCATCATGTCTACCATCAATCTTGTACTTATTCCATCACATAATGTCTTTTAGCGTTGAATATGACACTTAGGTAATGTTTGTTTTTTGTCTGCAGATCTGTGTGGCCTATTCTCTCTGCGCCGCGCAGACAACGCGCAGACATTAGCATTCGCAGACTGTTTGTTTTTTTGAATACTGCAGACCTAAAAATGTATGTGCGCCCTCTTCTTGGCGCAGATGTGGACCAGTGTCTTCTAACATCTTCAGACATCTTCTAGCCTAAAAAAACATATATATCTTTATTTTTTTAAGTTTTTTTTTTAATTTATATTTTTTCCAACTTTATTAATGATAAACGATTTGAAAAAAAAAAATTACAAAACTAAAAAAAACGTTCGACGATACAAACATGATATTTTTGACAAATTTATAAATAAAGATTTATTACAATAATAGTCGTTGAAGTTGTTTATATAAATATGAAAAAAAAATCATAATATATTCTTATATTTTTTTACCAAATTTTGTAAAATATTATTTAATACAATATCGTCAATTTCTCGAGAAAATATTTATCGTACGTTTTTATTGGATTTAATTGAAAAAATCGAAGTTTATTTCTATCCATTTATGTATCAAATTCTTTGATCACTAATTATAATGTTTAATTATAACTTTGCAACCAAAGTTTTTGGTTTTTATCAAATATATACGTTAATTCATACCATTTTTATTTTTATTTTTTATACAATAATACATAAAAGTTGATCTAGATTCGTTAATTATTTATAACAAAGTCATAAAAATATTAAAAAATCACTTTGAAGTTTAAAAAAATCAGTTTATTTAGATTTCAGTTTATTTTAGTAGCCCGCAGATGTTAAAAAAACAGTCTTCTTTTTTCAGACTGCAGACGTTTGGTCCACCTCTTCTACTGCAGAGGTCTACAGATGTTGTCCGCAGATTGCAGACATTTTGTCTCAGAAAAAACAAACAGCACCTTATTCAATAGTTCAACTAATTAGCCTCAATCTTGAAACGGCAAATATTTCCCATTTTTAAATTTCTTTTCTAAAAAAACGATAACTCATATCATACATCAATTTTTAGAATTAATACAAGAAACAACATTAAATATTATATTATATTTTATCAAATTTTTTATAATTTCTATCACAAGTATTTTTTTATTAAGATATTGTTTCTTGAAAATATACTTAATTCTTATATTGTATTTTTTTATCTTATTATCATATTATAGTTTAAAAAACATATCTAGTTATAGTATAAATTTTTGTTTTTTTTAAACCGTTGGATATGGGATACCCATACGCATCCACAAGGTCATCCCATCATCATTTCTCTCCATAACATCTAAAGGGAATGACCATCATTTTATTGATTTCGGTTACCATTTTAATCAAATAGTCCAAAATAATCAAAATTTTAATTTTAAAATAACCTTTTAATCATTTATCAATTTAGTTGAGTTGTCTTTTTAATAGTATTAAAGTATTGCCCAAACTTTAAAAAAAAATTGAAAAGGACATGTTAATTCATGTAAACAAAATTGTTTACTCAATCTGAATTATAAAAATCGATCCAACCGAATTTTAATTTAGTTGATTCAAATCAGATATTAATTTAGTTTAATCTATTTAGATCAGTATTTTTAAAACTAAAGCCAATTTGGATTCATTTAATTCAATCTATTGAACTGATCTATTCAAAACAAACAGTCTACCTTTTGGCTTCCAACTAAAATACAATTAATTTTGTCGAATATAACCACAATCTTTCTTTTTATTTTTTTTCTTTATTACCAAAAAGTTGGTTAATAAGATTGGTAGACGGAAGTTGGGTTTTAACAATGATGCATATTTAAACCCAATGGCTTAAAGAACAGTCTTATTCGATTCTAACCACATGCTCCTGTAGTTTTGTTCTGCTCTCTCTCTTTTCTGTAAATGATCTTTTCAGCTCATCATCATTACTCTATCCCGTCGACACCCTGTACTACTACTTCTCCCATCTCCTTTCATGCTTAAACATATATCTTTCTTCCCTCCCATCAAATCCTTGTTAATAATAATCTGATCGGAATCATGGAGAATTACATGAACTGGGTACAAGGAATGGCCTCCGCAGCTGCTTTGTTACTCCTTATCGGTTTCCTTTGCTGCTGTCTCATTGCCAAACCTCGCCCACACGGTGACCTGCGTACAAGCACTGGTGCTTGCTCCTGTGATGGGTTCGTTTGATTATTCTTCTTCCTTTTTGCCTTGTGATATACGTTTACTTCATTCTTTGTAGGTCTAACTCTAGACTCTTTTGTAAAAGAAAGTTTCTTCTGTTGATATATCAATATGATAATACTTTATTCTTTCTGTAACATAAAGTTTTTGACAGTCGATCTTCAATGTTATATTTTATATCCCGGATTACATGTAATAGTTAACATTTTTTGTATATTGTTTGGACCAATCCTAGCTAAGACCATTAACAACTCTTATTTTACACAAAATTGATAAAAAAAAAAAAAAAATTGTATAAACATAATGTAAAAACTATTCTCCAACCCATTACACCATCGTCAAATAAATAAATAGGTGTATTCCTCTTTAGTTAACTTTCATGGTTATTAAAAAGCTCTTACATATATTAGCTTTTTATATGGTTAGCATATATATAGCTTTATAAATTATATTATTATACATGTACGTATGATCAAAATAAAATATTTGTATAAAACCAAATCATCAGTTTCCGTCACCAACTAATTAAAACTAAATGATTTGTAATCGCAAAACTTATATTCAAGATTTGTCCAAACCTCACGATAGACATAGTAAACATGTCATGTTGTGTCGATTCGAAGCATTAAACAGATTGAAAGATCTTGGCCCTAACGATCCGTTTAATCAACATGTTATGTCATGTCAACCGGTTTATTTTTGTGTCAGTTAGTGGAGTTAGTGGGTTAGGGTTTAGACCTTATAGATGTTTCGTGTTATGTCAGTTTGAATCACTAAACAAGTTGAAATAGTAGGAGTTGAGGAGGCAAAATGAAAAGAATAGGAGTTGGTAGGTAGAGGGGCGAGGTCACGAGAAGATGGGAGTGATCGAGTGAGACTGTGGAGTATAGAGAAAGGAAAAAACTAAAAATAATATTTTGATCTATGTGGCTAAGTCGTTTTCATATTAGAAAGAGACTTCATCAAAGTTTTTCTTTTATATCTCAATTTGGATTTGGGTTGGTCCAATATATCTAAAGAATTAAAAAAATATTGGATTTGGGTTGGTCCAATATATCATGACAACCCATCATCGGGCCATGTTTTCTTTTTCTTAATTAAGTATTTTCTAAATAAATAGTACTCAAGACATGAAGATAAACATGGGTAAATAATAGAAAAAAAAAGAAAGTATAAATTTGTAAAAATTTATAATTCAGAGAACTTCAAAAATTATCTTTGTGGTCTGTTGTTTTTTTGGATGGGGTCCTTTCCATATAGTTTTTTTGAGAAAGTCTGATTGTGCGGTTTTGGTCCCAAACTTTAACATCATTAGTTTTACTCCATTAAATTTTATATAAACTGGCTGTTTTAATCCTTATTTTATCATTAATTCTTTTAGACGGGTCTTTTTTATACGAAAATAACCAAAAGGTAACAACTACTTATAGACAATACTCAAAGTGGGGGTAATAAAAATAAATCATACAAAGTCAAAAGGCAAACGTGTCATTAAAATTGTTAAGTTAAATAGCCCAAAAAAGATAGTTAATCAGACATATTTCGCCTAAAACAGACTGTAACTTCTTTCAATTATCAATGATAATTTATACAACATGCATGAAAACATATATATCTTCCCCTCATTTTGGGAATAATATGGAAAGGGTTTCTTCCATACCTTGTGTATTTTTAATATTTTCATTATTGAATTTATTCTAGTGCAGAAGGTGAGGGCAAAAGGGTAATTTTTGTACTGTCTTGCGGTTGAATTCAATTCATGCAGACTCAATGCTTTTAACGAACTTCTTCGCCTGTCAAAAAAAAAAATCAAATCATTTAAAACATTCGTAAAGTAATATATTCATTTCAACAAAATCTCCAAAATACATTTTAATTTTAAATATAACCATGGGCAAAAGGGTCATTTTAAATGTACCCCCACCTTTAGCCCCATAAAAATTACAACATTTCACTTGACACATAGTTTAAAAAGAATATTCAAATATCATCAAGATAAAATGTGGATCTAAATCAATTTCATTACTTTTTTGCAACAAAGATTTTTTTTTAAAAAAAACATGTAAAAAATTGTGATTTTTAGAGGGAGTAAAATAGAAAATAAAATCAAGAATGGCAAATTGGTAAATATAGTACCTGCTCCAAGGTGAGAAACATGATGACATTCCAAGAACCTAATCTTCCAAAATTTGGGATAAAGCCTTTGTAAAAAGCCAATGGTCCCTATTAACAAAAAAATTCAGAAAATTATTTTTTTCTTAAAACAAAAAAGACATAAGAGAACAGGTTGTATGCAAGAAAATTCACATCACGAACTTCTATTATTAGAAATTGTGATGTGTATGCGAGTAAAAACCCTTACATCATTCTTCAATGTCTTCACAAAACAATCAATGGTGCCTTTGTAACTCGAATCTCCCATCATTCTTGATTTAACCTACAAAAAACAAGAAAATATTCTTCTCAATCAATTTATGAAGATTGAATTAGAAGTTTTAGAATATAATCAGATTGAAAATATGTACCACATCAACTGGGGATCCAACACAAACAGCAACAAATCCCGCACCTAAACCCGATAATAAATGGGTAACAACATTATCAGTGAACCCTGGGATCTTGAGAATTGTCTGCAAGGGTAAAACGGTCATTTACTCTCGTCCAATCCAAAAAAGAAACAACCTTTATTTATACAACAAATGGAAAAAGAAAAAAGAACCTGTTTCACTTGATCATAACTTGCTAATTCGGCTGCATTTATTATTGCATTACGGGCAACATTTGGCCCGAGTCCAGTCCATAGAGCTCTAACTCCTTCCTGAAATACAAATGAATTTTTTTTTTTTTTAAAAGTAAATAATAGTGAATAATGAATAACTAATGATGAAGAACATGATGTATTACTTGTTTCACAATTGTTGAATAAGCATTTAATGCACCAGAGTAACGCCTAGGCACACCAGCTGCTAATTTTCCTTCAGCTTGAAGGCGAACTTTTACTAAATCAGTAGGATTTGCCACAGATATTGCAAGAGCACCTTCAAAAACAAAACAAAATCATAAACAATCATAGACAATATCACATGATTAACAAGCTAAATTATAATAATAGAAAGAGATTAGAGATGATCCATGAAATGTGCTTTACCAGTTGTGAGTCCTGCAAGTATTTTAGTGGTCAAAGGAACATCTCCAACAAAGTTCTCACCTACATATAAGTTTTTAATCTGTTGCATGAAAGAAACACTGTTCACGTTGATTCACTTGTGTAGAACAAATGGATAAGAGTTTACAAAATGTAAGGAGGAAAAGGGAGGAAATACGTACAGGTTCATACAGCCCAATTCTTAAACCTCCAAAGAGACATTGACGATGTAATCCAGGAACAATGCCTTTCCACAACGAAGCAAGACCTTCTTCTCTTGCAATAGTTCCTACAGTACCTAGCATTCCCTTGTATTTAGGTAAAGCGATTCCATCTCCTGCAACTGCTTTCTTTTGTAGCTGAAGCCTCACCTTTGCTGTGTCTAATGGAATTGTACAAATCTGCAGAAGGAAATTGATGGCAATGAACATGAATACTTTATCAGATCGAAACTGGTGGAGTTTTGTGCCGGAGAGATTGAAAATCAGTGTACTGATGAGAAACAAAATTAATTGTGTAAGCTACAAAGAGGCGAAGCAAAAACCCTTGACGCAAATAAACTGCCCACTCAATTTCATAGCTTTTAGCTACTCTGATCAAAATCAATATACTGAGAAACGAAATTGAATCATTTTGGCACAAATACAAATTGAAGTATCAAAATCATTACCAGAAACGATACAGAAAAAAAATAAGGGTAGTGAAAAGTAGGAATACCTCCGCGAAACAAGCGGCGAAAGCGCTGCTGGCGAAAGTACCGGCGAAAGAAATGTCCGATTTGGAATCGCCGGCGACCATTGTTGAAGAGATGTATGTAATGCAGGAGCGGAGAAAGAGGAGTAGGGCTTAAAGTAGTTGAGTTTAATGCAAATCTTAATAGGAAAGAGAAGATGAAAGAGAGAGATGCGGGCACGATAAACAGATCAAAAGAATCTTGGGAAGAGTGAGAAGGAAGTTGGCAGTGGACACAGTCACAAAACTTAATCTTCTCTTTCAACAAGGCGAATCCCGCGAGAATAGAATTATATAGTTAAAATAATAATTTGTACCAAATTATTACTCTCTCCGTCCCAATATTATTGTCCACAGACACAAAACATACATATTAAGAAAATCACTAATTACCACTAACTTTATTTAATAAAATGACAGTTTTGTCCTTACTGTGCATTTAATGTTCCATTAAATGTTTAGTTGGTTAAGTAATAATGAGGGGGTATTTTGGTAAAAATGTTATTTATTTTTAGAAGTGGACTATTATTTTTGGGACAAACCAAAAAGGAAAAATGGACTATAATTTTGGGACGGATGGAGTATTTAATATTTCTACTTTGAAACAAAATGTTAGTAGTAAAGCAAACATATAGTTAACATATTAGTTTTATTAAACATTATAGTTTAATTTTTAAGTCATTGTAATATATACAATTATTTGATAATTTTATAAACCGTTTAAAATTGTGTAAATTATATATTAAATGAATGATAATAATTTAACGGGTAATAAAACGTATGAACAAAAATATGAACTGCAACTTTTAGTAACATAAAAATAGAAAAACATCTATTATAACATTTGTATTAAAAAAGATATATGTATACAACGAATAATAAAAAATATGAAAAATAAACACTATAACTTTTAATAACATAAAAACACTAAAACATCTATTATAACATTTATATTAACTCTTCATATTTAAATCACAAATCTCTTCAAATACATTAATGTTTTTAATGAGCAAAACTTTACAACCTTATAAAAGAAAGGAAAATAAAAATTTATTAGTGATTACTAATTAAAAATCATAAGTAAAAAACTCTTGAGTTGTAACTAATAAATATACATAAATTAGAAAACTCTTGAGTTGTAGTGTGAGTTTCAAATGAATACGGTACTTGGAAATGTATATTTATTATTATTATTATTATTATTATTATTATTATTATTATATTCGTCCAAATAATTGGTTTCGATGCATCATTTTAATCCCTTCAATTATTAAGCATAAAGATATTTAATTATAAATTTATAACATACATAGGTGCATATACATGTTAAACAAATCACATATAATATATATTTTTTCGTAAATGTCATATGCAATTCTTGTCGTAGTAATATGGATAAATTACTTTCATATGAAGAACATATCATGATAAGTCTATCATAATTATATATCAAATGTTCAAAATTATGTTATCTTTTAAATATTGTCTTTTAAATATGTTGTGGAGGATAACCCAACAAAAAATAATAGAAAATAAACATAATCAAAATAGAAAAACTACAATCAAATAAATAAGAGCATTAGGTGGATGAATATATAAATAAAGATGTTACATAAACATACATTTAAATCAAAAGAAAAAACTAACATTCTTCAAGTTTGCTCAAACAAAAAAAACCTATATCCATTTTATGAATCTTCTTTCTTCATTTAACACCATTCAACCATAGAAACTTGATGACAATTTTTCACTAACCTGCAATCAAAATATTTTTCTTGAAAAAGAAGAATCAAAAAGATATTCCAAGAAAAACATTGATGTTTGGAGAGTCACATTCAAGATTGAGTAATACACACAAATCACATATAAAGATTAAATGAGAAACTGGATATAAAGAAAGAATAGAAAAGCTTCATTTGTTTTGGTTGAAACAAAAAATCATATTATAATTACCATCGATGCGACATAACTCATTTCTTCAAATCATCATATTTGGATCGTGAATGCTTCAACTATATGAAAACTTTTGAATCACAATATCTTCAAATCCTTCTTACATGTAAGATTTTATATAACATAAAAGACAAAAAAGATTGTCCTTTTTATAGTAAACTTTTCACTAAATGTTAATTAAACATAATATAATTTATAAAACTTTTGAGTGTTAAATCATAATTAAGAAAACTTTTGAGTTGCATTAGTTAAAAAATGGGGTTTCAAATGAATGTGGTTTGAGGAAGTTAAAAAAGGGGGTTTCAAATGCATGAGATTCAAGAAAAAATGCTAGTTTTATAAGTATGTATGATGTATGGTTTCATTTGGGTGTTACTTCATGGTTACTTTTAGAGACAATTACAAATATAATAAAAATCGTTAATTACTTTTTCGAAAATAGCCAAAAAAAACTCAAATTACAAAAATAGTCATCAAAATCGCAGATGGATTAAACTCATCTGCGATTTCATCAAGCCATCTGCGAACGTACAAGTCGCTAAAGCACATTCGTGCTTTAGCGACTTGTACGTGTGCAGATGATTTTTTTTGTATAAATAAGGGGTACAAGTGACAAAAATCGCAGATGAACTAAGTTCATCTGCGATTTACTCTCACAGTTCATCTGCGATTTCGTTTTTTTCCTCTTTTTTTTTTTAAAAAAAATTTTCACTACGAAATTGATAGGGTTTGACTAGGAAATAACCATATTATATATAGATTCTTGCAAAAAATTATCATTTTTGTTGTTATTTCTTTGGAAAATTTGTTTAAAATCATTTAAATAAAATGAATGAATATTTGTTTTGTCAAATCGTCCATAGTGCTTCTAGAGAGAGAGAGTTCTTCAACAAAAAGTGTGAAAAATGAAACAAACAAAAAAAATTGCGTTTTTATAGCTGCGAAAAAGGTGAAATCGCAGATAGAATGTCAAATAGCAGATGGACTAGTCCATCTGCGAACGTACAAGTCGCTAAAGCATGGATGTGCTTTAGCGACTTGTACGTTCGCAGATGGCTTTGTCAAATCGCAGATGGACTTAATCCATCTGCAATTTTACTGGCTATTTTTGTAATTGGGTTTTATTTTTTGGCTATTTTCTACAAAGTAATTAACTGTTTTGGTTATATTTGTAATTTTCTCTTACTTTTATTATGAAAAGTTGATTTATAAAATTAACTATTTATAAGACCAGATGAGTGCCCTGCACCGTTGCCACATAAGCACAAACATCGCCCCTAGGTGCGGTAGAGAGTGCACTGCACCCTTTCAAGAGAGCACTCATTCAAACAACCTTCAAGCAATGTGATTGGTTCATTTTTCTTCCTTCCTTCTGATTGGTCCCTTTTATTTATTAAAAAAAAAAAATAAGTAAAAAAATACCCAAGTGTGGCACCGCCCAAGGAGTGTGGTATGAAACCACACTTTTGTGGTAACGGGTGAGGTGGCGCCTACGTGTCACTGCGGTTTCATTAGGGAGTGCGGCACCACTCCCTCCAGCCTAATTAATGTTTTAGAAAAATTAAATATAATTTCAATCAATAAAAACAATTGAGTTATCTTTTTAGTCGATCCTTACATTTAGATGGTGATTAACTGATTATGATTGTTATCTTTTTTTTAATCCAAAATATGAATAATATATCTTAATTATGATTGTTATTTGAACTTCAAAGTATCTTTGGATAAAATTGTTTATTGATTTATAGTAGTAACAAAAATAGTTTTAAAAAATATATTTGAATTAACTTTTATAATGGAAAAGAAAAACTTTATACTTATAAAATAGAGTAAATTATACGAATGGTCATCATGGTTTGAGGTAATTTACGTGTTTTGTTCATAATTTATTTTTTTAATTCAGACCGTTCATATAGTATGTTTTTGTTGTGCGTTTGGTCCATGTCCGACCTAAAAAGACTATTATGCTCTTATTAATATACTTCTTAAATAATTTTATTATTTATATAATTCTTTTTTATTTCTTTTTAAAAAAGAAATAAAGAACACCGCCAACATACAATCACTTCAAGATTGTGTACGACCACCTCATCTACTCGACTCCTCTTCCCTCCTTTTCCGACTAGACCGTCGCCTTCCCCTCCCCTACCCCTTGGCTTTTTCATCAAGCTTCATAACCACGACAATCAATTTTATAAAGAAAAAAACAACCCAAGATCAGATGAAACATAAATCACAACCCCAACAATGAATTCAATTGTTCTAGATTTTAAGCTTGACGTCATAGAAACATGATTATTAAGAGAGGATATGAGAGGTTTGAGATATTCGATGACTACAATGCTCAATGGATTCACCACCTCTCTTTTTCTCTTGTGTCTACCTCAAACTAAAATCAAACATGAATCTATGAAGAACAAATAAACACAAGCCCATAAAACTCATGACCTACAAGTGAGTCTTGAACACAAATAGACGGTGGTGCACAGTGACGGAGCTTGAAGTTTTGATTTGGGGACCGAAAATAAAAATATGTATAAAATTTGGAAAACAAGGGGGGCAAAGTCAAATTTTAGAGTGTTAGGCCTAATATGTAAATTTTTTAATAGTTATGGACTAATTATTAAATTAAAAAAAACATGGGGGGTGGGCCACAACCCCTCCTAGCCTTATATAAGCTTCGTCCCTGGTGGTGCATCCACAATTATAGGTTATGAATCGGTGACCGTAGAGGGAGTTGTGGAGAGGGTATGGTTTATAATGTCACTTCTTGGAAAATACCATCCCCAAAATCAAAACGTGAGTCAATTCTTGGAAGTACAATCTTCAAATCCCATCTAAACTTACAATAATCTTTGTTCCATAAATTATGCTAGTGATACCACAATCAACCTAAATATTAACAAGCTCTTTACTATTGGTAGATGATAGAGATAGAAAAACAAACCCAATTGCAACTCCATCGATCCAATTCCATGGCATGAGGTGGGACCTTTGGTGCGGTGGTGGTTTCTTCAAGTAAGATGATGTCGTCGGTTGAGAGGAGAAGGGTGACAAATGATGGTTGGATGGTTTGGTGGTTTAGGGTAAAAGAGGGAAGATAGTTGAAAGGATAAGTGAGCAACGTCTGTGGCATCCGGTGGTGGGTTCCTAGGTTTAGTTACGATTGTCGAGATCTTGCTCGACGGCGTGAATGTTTTGATCGGAAAAAGTGGTCAGCAACTTCGTGCAAGTTTTGATCAGAAGATGTGGTCAGCGACAGTCGGCGACTGC